ACTAATCTGAGCAATACTCTATGTAATAATAACTAATCTGAGCAATACTCTATGTAATAATAACTAATCTGAGCATTACTCTATGTAATAATAACTAATCTGATCAATACTCTATGTAATAATAACTAATCTGATCAATACTCTATTTAATAATAACTAATCTGTGCAATACTCTATGTAATACTAACTAATCTGATCAATACTCTATGTAATAATAACTAATCTGATCAATACTCTATGTAATATTAATTAATCTGAGCAATACTCTATGTAATATTAATTAATCTGATCAATACTCTATGTAATAATAATTAATCTGAGCAATACTCTATGTAATAATAACTAATCTGATCAATACTCTATGTAATAATAACTAATCTGATCAATACTCTATGTAATATTAATTAATCTGAGCAATACTCTATGTAATATTAATTAATCTGATCAATACTCTATGTAATAATAATTAATCTGAGCAATACTCTATGTAATAATAACTAATCTGATCAATACTCTATGTAATATTAATTAATCTGATCAATACTCTATGTAATATTAATTAATCTGATCAATACTCTATTTAATAATAACTAATCTGTGCAATACTCTATGTAATACTAACTAATCTGATCAAATACTCTATGTAATAATAACTAATCTGATCAATACTCTATGTAATATTAATTAATCTGAGCAATACTCTATGTAATATTAATTAATCTGATCAATACTCTATGTAATAATAACTAATCTGATCAATACTCTATGTAATAATAACTAATCTGATCAATACTCTATGTAATATTAATTAATCTGAGCAATACTCTATGTAATATTAATTAATCTGATCAATACTCTATGTAATATTAATTAATCTGAGCAATACTCTATGTAATAATAACTAATCTGATCAATACTCTATGTAATATTAATTAATCTGAGCAATACTCTATGTAATAATAACTAATCTGATCAATACTCTATGTAATAATAATTAATCTGAGCTATACTCTATGTAATAATAACTAATCTGATCAATACTCTATGTAATAATAACTAATCTGATCAATACTCTATTTAATAATAACTAATCTGTGCAATACTCTATGTAATACTAACTAATCTGATCAATACTCTATTTAATAATAACTAATCTGATCAATACTCTATGTAATATTAATTAATCTGAGCAATACTCTATGTAATATTAATTAATCTGATCAATACTCTATGTAATAATAATTAATCTGAGCAATACTCTATGTAATATTAATTAATCTGAGCAATACTCTATGTAATAATAACTAATCTGAGCTATACTCTAGTAATAATAACTAATCTGATCAATACTCTATTTAATAATAACTAATCTGATCAATACTCTATGTAATAATAACTAATCTGAGCAATACTCTAGTAATAATAACTAATCTGATCAATACTCTGTGTAATAATAACTCATCTATGCAATACTCTATGTAATAATAATTAATCTGAGCAATACTCTATGTAATAATAACTAATCTGATCAATACTCTATGTAATAATAATGAATCTGAGCAATACTCTATGTAATAATAACTAATCTGATCAATACTCTATGTAATAATAATTAATCTGAGCAATACTCTAGTAATAATAACTAATCTGAGCAATACTCTATGTAATAATAACTAATCTGAGCAATACTCTATGTAATAATAACTAATCTGATCAATACTCTATGTAATAATAATTAATCTGAGCTATACTCTATGTAATAATAACTAATCTGATCAATACTCTATGTAATAATAACTAATCTGATCAATACTCTATTTAATAATAACTAATCTGTGCAATACTCTATGTAATACTAACTAATCTGATCAATACTCTATGTAATAATAACTAATCTGATCAATACTCTATGTAATATTAATTAATCTGAGCAATACTCTATGTAATATTAATTAATCTGATCAATACTCTATGTAATAATAATTAATCTGAGCAATACTCTATGTAATAATAACTAATCTGATCAATACTCTATGTAATAATAACTAATCTGATCAATACTCTATGTAATAATAACTAATCTGTGCAATACTCTATGTAATACTAACTAATCTGATCAATACTCTATGTAATAATAACTAATCTGATCAATACTCTATGTAATATTAATTAATCTGAGCAATACTCTATGTAATATTAATTAATCTGATCAATACTCTATGTAATACTAACTAATCTGATCAATACTCTATGTAATAATAACTAATCTGATCAATACTCTATGTAATATTAATTAATCTGAGCAATACTCTATGTAATATTAATTAATCTGATCAATACTCTATGTAATAATAATTAATCTGAGCAATACTCTATGTAATAATAACTAATCTGATCAATACTCTATGTAATAATAACTAATCTGATCAATACTCTATTTAATAATAACTAATCTGTGCAATACTCTATGTAATACTAACTAATCTGATCAATACTCTATGTAATAATAACTAATCTGATCAATACTCTATGTAATATTAATTAATCTGAGCAATACTCTATGTAATATTAATTAATCTGATCAATACTCTATGTAATAATAACTAATCTGAGCAATACTCTAGTAATAATAACTAATCTGATCAATACTCTATGTAATAATAATTAATCTGATCAATACTCTATGTAATATTAATTAATCTGAGCAATACTCTATGTAATAATAACTAATCTGAGCTATACTCTAGTAATAATAACTAATCTGATCAATACTCTATTTAATAATAACTAATCTGATCAATACTCTATGTAATATTAATTAATCTGAGCAATACTCTATGTAATAATAACTAATCTGAGCTATACTCTATGTAATAATAACTAATCTGATCAATACTCTATGTAATAATAACTAATCGGAGCAATACTCTATGTAATAATAATAACTAATCTGAGCAATACTCTATGTAATAATAACTAATCTGATCAATACTCTATGTAATAATAATGAATCTGAGCAATACTCTATGTAATAATAACTAATCTGATCAATACTCTATGTAATAATAATTAATCTGATCAATACTCTATGTAATAATAACTAATCTGAGCAATACTCTATGTAATAATAATTAATCTGTGCAATAATCTATGTAATAATAACTAATCTGAGCAATACTCTATGTAATAATAACTAATCTGTGCTGGGAATACATTGCAATCAGTTGAAAGCTATTTGTGTCCGTTTATGAAGCTGAAGGAGCATGGAGCCTCAGTTCGATAAGAGATTCTTTTCTGAGTTCTTTAACTTAGGTACTCTCTCTCAAAATGGTAATGTGCATTATGTTTTAATTATACTTCTTATCATTCAGAAGCTTTTTGTGTGTGTTTATATTTTACTGAGTGCTTATAGGCTATTTCCATCCCAGTATTCAGTTAACTATTTATTTTCTGTGCACATTACATAGACTAGCTAATATTCTACCTACTGCTTGGGACTTTGAGTCTTCAAAATGTCCAATGTCACAGACTGGGACTTACTTTAGAGTCAGTTGTATTTACATTCAGTATGACTTGTTATGATTCAATGTGAAAGAATATACTGCTCAATAAATAATTATCACTTCACCACCTCTCTTGACATCTAGGCACTTGAGAGTGAGTCAGAGGCAGAATACAGGGACAGTGAAGAGAGGTCCATTGCTGAGGTGAGTGATGAAAGGGAAATGACAGTTGAGAGTAAATTGTGATGTGGACTCTCATCCCAGGATTTTAAGGAAATCAGTGGGGATATTGAACAGGAAACATTTCAGTCAAGGGGCATCATATGACCAATATAGACAGAAGAGCAACATTTATTTGAACATTTAAGTCAATGATACCATTCCTAGGTGAACTTAACAACCGTATGGAGTCAGATCAGTCTCAATATGAATAAATGCTCACAGAAGGATTCACAAATGTATTTTGCGATTTATATATAAATGACTCTCCACAACAATATCTCTCAATGCACTCACAAATAATTATTGTTGTATATAAATGTACAAAAAATGGGCATTTAAACTGCTTTTTATTAATTCAAAGACGGCTCTGAATTAATAATCAAATATGTTTCCTTTCTTTACTACTGGATGAAATTACAAAATGTACCCATCATTTCCCTCATGCTAGTATAGCCACATAAAAGTATCAAACCACCTGTTAAAATGCACCAGAATACAGGAAATCTATATTTTTTTTCGCCCCAACACCCCCCGTTAAAAATGTCCCCCCCACATTCAGGATGCTTCCTACGCCCATGGCGCTGACACAAAAACACTCAGGGTGGACAGAGCTGGAGGCCGGAGGGCAGTCATGTCTCTGTGAGCTGTTCTCTGTGAGCTGTTCTCTGTGAGCTGTTCTCTGTGAGCTGTTCTCTGTGAGCTGTTCTCTGTGAGCACTCGGCAGTGAAGAGCAGAAGGGGGTGGGAAAGAGAAAAGGATAAAGAAAACACTCCTGAAAGAAGTGCAGAGCCACTGGGTTCCTGTGAGGAAGCAGTGAAAGTCCATGTTGTCACTCCCAACTAACCATGGGAGCTTTTACACATGCTAATCATGCTAAACGAGGAAGGGGTTAATATCTCTGACCTTCTAATAGGGATAAAGGATGTGAGACAATATAAAACATCGGATTAAATGAAGGTGTTATATGTAACATTACCGACAATAAAATGTATAGAAACTGCAGAACTAGGTTATATATTTGGTTCAGTTGTGCATTTCCATTTCCCCAAATGTCTCCAACATTTTCAAACCCATAGAAAAATGAAATGTAATTGTAATTAATGTAAACATCCTCCTGTCAACTGTGACTGTGTTGTATTCCCTTTGAGCATGCTTCCAGAAGATGTCCTAAATGTACTTTTTATCCATTTTTACCATGCACTTTTTTAGATGTTGGTGCTTTATAACGCTATATTTGAACCGGATACGATTTTGTTTTGGTCCAGTGTACAGTTGATACCCATCAAATGTTAAATAAATCTGCGTATCAATAAAATATTGCCACTACTACATCACTGTACTTTAACGCAGCCTTTAAACAAAGTAAATCAACACTTAGGATATCCAAAATCCATGAAAATAATGGGCCTCAAATCCAAATATCAGAATAATAGCAATATATAACTCCAAATCTCGCGATACAATGATTTCCCCGCACCAATATAATACTGTTCTGTTAATATAATAATCCTTCCAAATAAAAGTCCTCAGTAATGCTCTGTGTGGTGTCTCTTACCCAGATCCTGCCCACTGTGGTCCTGGGAGTTCCTGCTGGAGGTGTTGGATTCTCCGTCTCCGCTCCAGATCTTTCCCGTCTTGCGGACCCCGATGACGGCGGCCTCGCAGACGACCCCCTGCTGCTTCAGGCGTTTCTGAGCCAGCGGGGTGGGGGGGCTGCTGCTGCCGAGGGAGGGGGAGCGGCTCTTCTCCCGGTATAGGGGGAAGGTGGAGGGGCTTGGGGATATGAGGCTGGACGGACCCGACGAGAAGTCCTCCTCGCTGGAGGTCAGGTTCTCGTTGGAGCTGCAGTCCGGCGTGTAGCCTCCACCTAACGGGGGGGGGGAAAAAATCAAGATTCATCACAATGTTTATATAGATTTGTTTATTCCACACATTCCAGTTATTTTAAAGGTCACCTATTATGCAAAACCCACTTCTTCATGTCTCTTCTACATCAACATGTGTCCCCTCTTCTTCATGTCTCTTCTACATCAACATGTGTCCCCTCTTCTTCATGTCTCTTCTACATCAACATGTGTCCCCACTTCTTCATGTCTCTTCTACATCAACATGTGTCCCCTCTTCTTCATGTCTCTTCTACATCACCATGTGTCCCCTCTTCTTCATGTCTCTTCTACATCAACATGTGTCCCCTCTTCTTCATGTCTCTTCTCCATCAACATGTGTCCCCTCTTCTTCATGTCTCTTCTACATCAACATGTGTCCCCTCTTCTTCATGTCTCTTCTACATCAACATGTGTCCCCTCTTCTTCATGTCTCTTCTTCATCAACATGTGTCCCCTCTTCTTCATGTCTCTTCTACATCAACATGTGTCCCCACTTCTTCATGTCTCTTCTACATCAACATGTGTCCCCTCTTCTTCATGTCTCTTCTACATCAACATGTGTCCCCACTTCTTCATGTCTCTTCTACATCAACATGTGTCCCCTCTTCTTCATGTCTCTTCTACATCACCATGTGTCCCCTCTTCTTCATGTCTCTTCTACATCAACATGTGTCCCCTCTTCTTCATGTCTCTTCTCCATCAACATGTGTCCCCTCTTCTTCATGTCTCTTCTACATCAACATGTGTCCCCTCTTCTTCATGTCTCTTCTACATCAACATGTGTCCCCACTTCTTCATGTCTCTCCTACATCAACATGTGTCCCCTCTTCTTCATGTCTCTTCTACATCAACATGTGTCCCCTCTTCTTCATCAACATGTGTCCCCTCTTCTTCACGTCTCCTCTACATCAACATGTGTCCCCTCTGTGTAAAGAGGTTCTGAAAGTTTCAGGAACAAAGATTCTCTCTCTTTTTGTCCTGATCCATTTATATAAAAACCTGTCTGAAAATGAGCTGATCAGATTTTGGACACTTTATGATGTCATAACGAGGTTTTGTCTTGTGTAACCATTAGGCCCCCCCCCCACCCCTTATCACCTGAATCTCCTCCTAGAGCACCATTAGGCGCTTTCACACCGGAGTACTTTTCCCAGATATAGTACCTATAGTTCCTGGGATGTTGCGTTCACACCAAAAAGATCTGGAACTAGAACTTTTTTTCTCGAACCTTTTCCTCCCTTTTCAGTCCCTGCTAGAGAGGTGGTACTTTCCTGGGGAGGAAAAGGTTCCAATTTCTGATTGGCTGGGCGAATTGCAAACCACGCCCCGTAAAACTCCTAAAAGTTTTGTGAAGCAGCCATTTTATTTGCTCGCATTAGCATTATTAGCATTAGCATTAGCCCAGCGCACCAACGGAGAGAGACTAACTTATGGCAACACAAAATAAAACGTGGGAGCGGTGGAGTGATGAAGAGATGTCGGCGTTCTGGCGATTTACTCGGGACTTCGGGTGGCAGTATGCGCCGTGAAGTTGTTTGCAGCCTGCCAGTAAACCCAAAGCAGAAGAAGAAGAAGAAGAAGTGACGTCAGCGGCTTCATTTGCGTAATCCTCCCTTTGGGACTTATTCCGGTGTGAACGCGATCTACTAGATAGTTACGGAACTAAAGAGTTCCGGGAACTATTCCTGTCCTCCAGTGTGAAAGCGCCTATTGTGTTATTTTTAACCAAATATCTCTCAGAGGGGCGTGGGGAGGGGCTCCTTATTTTCATCTAAAGTAACAGACAGAGAATCAGCACTTTGGAAACAGGGCTGAAACAAAGGGGATTATGGGATGCTGCAATGATCTGTTTGGTGTTTGGAGGCAAACACTTCAGAGACATGTTCTGTATATATCTGAGACCTATAATATGTTGATGAAAAACAGTATAATAGGGGACCTTTAATGATAAAAGATCCACACTCACCTCCCACGTCGTCGAAGCTCCCTGGAGAGTAGGACCTCCGGGGCCAGGTGAGGTGAGCCTCCTCCTCCTGGCTGTGGTCCCGGATGTGGATCACTCGAGGCTCCCCCTCCCCCATCATCCCCCCCACGTACACACTGGTGTAGGGCTGGCACTCGGACCTCCCCCCCACCTCCTCGTACGCCCCGTTGACTCCCTCCGTAGATCTCCCTCTCTGCACCTTACTGATGTCCCCCGATGCAGCAGAAAGGTTCCCAGGAAGTGAATGCAGGGACCGTTTCCTCTCCATCTGCATGGCCTGACTCCCCAGGGTGCTGATCTTGTCTGAAACCTCCCTGTCATTGACTTTGACCAGGCCTCGCTCGTGGTGGTACTCCATGTTCACGTAGAAGGGCTTCTCCATCACCGACAGGCCCCTCCCGTCCCCTGCAGAGTGAGAGTTGGCCCTCCTGATGCGCTCAAAGTTGGACCTCAGAGCGGCCACGGAGCCTGTGCTTGGAGGATACTCAGGAACCTCTGGACCAACATCTTTCTGTTTGCTCGGAGACGCTGCATCCACCTCCAGATGTGCTTTACTGCTTACTTCATCTGTGTGCAGAGGTGGAAGAAGTGTTCAGATGCTTTACTTGGGTAAAAAGTACCAATACATTACTGTCAAAGTACTTCATTACAAGTAAAAGTCCTGCATTCAAAATCGTACTCCTCCTGTGTTCGTTTCTCCCGCCTTACTTTGGTATTCCTAGTCCAATTTTAACTGCTCTTAAATTAACACAAAAGTCATTAATCATCACCAAATGTTATTTAACTCCCTTTTAAGCTGTAAACAATGTCTCAGGTTACTGGTTTACATGAATAACTGCAGAGAAAATAGACACTGAAAATGTCATGCTTGTCGATTTGTGGGTGTGTACTATCTGGTGGATGAACATAAACCCATTCACTTCCTATGGCGGTCACCATAGGAGTTACAAAGTTGACTAAAACCACCCAAAATGCAATGAAAGTGGTGATCAGTAATTACATGATATGTTCTAATGCCTACTGTGGAGGATATCATAAAGCCCTGAGGCAATAACATGTAAAACACAATATATATTATTGATGAAAGTAGTAAAACGGTCAGATTTGACCTGAACACGACAGGAGGGTTAAGTAAAAGTACAAAAGTATTATCAACAAAATGTTGCCTTTATGTGTGTATATAATCATAATTATTATACATGTGACATTTCTAGATAAATGTGTGGCATCACGTAGCACTTGTACTGCTGTAGACAAACCACGTTCTGATTGACTTTTTGTAAAATTATTAAATAATTTGACTCTTTTGTGACTTTAAGAGTTAGTCCACTAGTTTAAATTTGAGAGATGCATTTTGTTAAAAGTAGCTGAAGCTGTGAAATAAACGGGTGAAGTAAAATTTCCCTTTATTTTAATTGTTACCCTAGTGATACATGTCCTTTCTACTGTGAATTTGTATATACTTGCTGCTAATGTTAATGTTTTATTCTTATTCTATCTTTCAAATATTGTTAACTTGTGTAATGCTGGACAAATCTGCCGCTGTGACAAACAAATCTCCCAGTTTGGGATGAATAAAGTATCTATCTAAATGTAGTTGAGAAGAAGTATGAAGTAGCTCAAAATGGAAATACTCAGGTAAAGTACAAGTACCTCTAAATTGCACTTAAGTACACTACTTAAGTAAATGTACTTAGTTACTTCCCACCTCTGGACATAACAAAGACTTTGTTTCACAGAGCTGGCAGGCAAACATCGGGCTGATATTTGGTACTAATGATCGATTGCCTTCTTACATCCAGCTCAACCAGGTAATGTCAAGTTAATGTCCCCACCTGTGTCTGTGTGCTGGTCTCCATCGTTGATCTGTGGAGAGTTTTTAAATCCCCACCGCTGCCCATCGTAGGATTTCCTCTCTTTGGCCAGCAGAGTCTGCAGGTAGATCATGCGGAAACGCTCCTTGTTCACTTCCTTCTCCAGTTGTCTGATGGACGTCTTGCATTTGTCCAGCTCCTGCTCGATGTTCCCCAGTGACTCCAGATCCATGGAGGGGGGGTCAGACTCAGGGAACTGGGCTTTCCATGCAGCCACAAACCCCACCGGCTCCACCATGATGATTATTATTATTCAGAGGGGGGAGGAGTACTCATATCGTGTACTAAAAGTAGAAAGCGTAGGAATACTCTGTTACAAATAAAAGTCCTGCATTCAAAATGTTACTCAAGTAGAAAAAGTATTATCATCAAAATATAGTGAAAGTAGCGACAGTAAAAGTAGTCATTGTGCAGATTGGTCCATTTCAGAATAATATATATGATATGTTTTATAATGATTGATCATGAAAGTGTTCTCAAAGCTGGTAAAGGTGCAGCTAGTTTGAATGACTTTGTATACTGCAGGGTAGCTTGTGAATTTACTCCAAGTGGAACTAAAGTCTGATTTACACTTGATTATATTTCACATCATTCATCCACATCTGTGAAGTAACTAAATACATGTAGTGGAGTAGAAGTACACCATTTACCTCTGAACTGTAGTGGAGTAGAAGTATGAAGTAGCAGAACATGTAAAGTCCCTCAAAAAGGTATTTGAGTAAATGTACTTAGTTACTTAACGCCACTGTGTTAATATTATACCTCTAACATAGACTATTCAATCAAAACATGAAGCTGGATCTGACTGTTTACCTTCCATAGTGTTATCCAGAGGTAGAATCCACTTTAAAGTGAGTCAAAACTGTTTCAGTTGCAGCATTTACTCACAAACACAAAGAGAAAATCCTCTCTCCTTACTCCTGTTGATGCAGTCCACAAAAAAACGATTGTTATCCTTATTCCTGGTATTTAATCCCTTCTTTGTGCCCGTCTATTCTCTGGAGATGTGTCCCCCTCTGTGTTTGCTGTCAGACTGAATCTCTGCTGCTGCCTTCTCTCTCTCAGTCAGCAGGAAGAGAGGAGGGGCTTACACTGCAAATGCATGAAGAAAAAACGTACAATAATATGTCAAAATGCGAGTTTACAGGCAGAGCTGAGGTAATGTTGAAAAACACCTTGACAGCTGTGAGAAATATATCTAAAAAAGCATAAAAACTGACATTGCAAGACATACGTAGTCCAACGTCGTAGAGAAGAGAGAGGAATTTTTTTTGCAAGAAGGTGAAGGAGAACGAGATCCTGATTTTAAAAACAACTACCTGCTTCTATTTTTAGCCCCAAAAAGACTACAATTAACTTAATTTCCACCTTTGTTTTCCCTTAGCTTTATATATGTCTCTCTTTCGGACCCACTTCGCACTTGTGCTTTTAGTTTTGCTCTGAAAACTCAGCTGGTTAATCCTCCCAAAATTCATTGTGTCACAACCTGAAGCAGAGTTGCGAGGAAATGTCGCCACCTGTCGGTCAGAGACTGCAATTACAGAGAGGTGCGTTCAAGGACAGAGAGGTGCGTTCACGGGTACATTCAAGTATGGACAGTGGTATAAAAGTAACCAAGTGTATTTACTGTATTTACTTTGTATTTTCAAGTAATACTTCTGTAACCTCTGCTTACACCTATATGCCATTTTATATGCTGTGAGCTGATTATCGAGCCTTCATTGTATGAGTCGCGGGTACACTGTGTATGTGCGTATTCCACTGTAGCGCCCGGTACATTAATGGGAAACCCTAGTTTGTACTTGTTCAATACATTTGTAACACTGTACACCAAAAAAAAAGAGATCTCACTCCAAGCTGAACTCAAATGTTGGCAGCCCTGCAAGTATTGTACTTTAGTACTTTTTTGCCACTAGGACCGCCAGAGATTTTTTATACCTAACACCGCCACCTGGGTCAAATTGACCGGCTATTAGAATGCATTGATTTTCAAGGTAAAATGTTCTTTTATTGAACAGAGAGTTTTGATCGCACAGGGATGAAACGTATACCAATATAATCTGTGGACTCTCAGGGCTCGACATTATAAATGGCCCGCTGGGCCGGAAGCATTATTTATTTAGACACAGCGGCCAGCATACTTTCAACTCGCTCCACAGCTGTCACACTCCTTCACTACAGACTGTCTCTATCTCTCTCTCTCTCTCTCTCTCTCTCTCTCTCTCTCTCTCTCTCTCTCTCTCTCTCTCTCTCTCTCTCTCTCTCTCTCTCTCTCTATCTATAACTATCTATCAATATATCTATCCATCTATCTCTCTCTCTCTCAATCTATCTCTCTCTCTCTCAATCTATCTCTCAATCTATAAGGAGGAACCGCAGTAGACAAAAGGCGTTGCTATAAACAACATGTTTATATGAAAAGGGGTGGGGACCCGCTTGGCGGAAATAGGTATAAATGGCAATTTGTTGGGTGATTGTTTCAATCTGACTTCATATTGACAATTTTTAACAACAGAGGGTGGTACATAACACACTTTCAGGAAAAGTCACGGACTGGGAGACTTTAATATTTTATTGAAAAAAAGTTACATCAAATATAAAACAGCTCGGGGTCAAATTGACCCCGTTGGCGGTTCTAGTGTTAAGTATTTCCATTTCATGCTACTTTATACTTTTTACTCCACTACATTCCGCATAATAAGTATTTTTACATTTTATGCTTTAAGTTGATTTGATTCTTATACTTTTGTACTTTTAATTAAGCAAAGTCTTGAAATCAGGACTTTTAATTGTAACGCAGTATTTTAAGACCATGGTATTTGTACTTTTACTTAAGTAAAGGACCGAAATACTTATTCGAAACACTTAGTATGGAGATTTACTGTGTTCATGTACTGAGCATAAGTACAGAGGATGCGTTCAAGGACAGCATTTTGAGATTTACCAAAAATGCTTTGTATATTGACTATATGTAGGCCAGTATCATGTATATACTATTGTGCTTTAAGCTCGATTTATTTGTAGGCTATGTATTTTTAAAGCTTTATTTATTTTGAGTATGTGAAAAAAAAATTAAATAATTTTTGTATTTATGTTTTACTTTTATAATTATAATACATAATACATAATAAAACATGTTTATACTTTTATTTAAAATTAAATTAAATCCATACATTTACTCAAACAGTACTCAACAGTATTGAGACAGTAAATCACTGGTTTAAATAAATTGTAATATTTATCTGTGTTGTTGATACTCTTGTTTAGTCAGACGATATTAACATATTTACACACAGCGTAGAGCCATCATTTATTTCATATAAAAGTACACATTATAATGTATTAAAGGCAGAGCATAGTAACACTATATAATATCAGTGAGAAAAGGCCTTGTAACGGTCTAAATCCATATGATAAAACATAAAGAGTAATAAGTCAAATATATATAAAACTTCACAGATTTAACAAGGATTCTGGTTAACAGATGAGACTATGTTTTGTTTTACTTCTGAGCGAGTGTTAATTCATATTCGCCCCAAACTCTCACACATTTGTCACCTGGAAGCATTATTAACACAGACATTTTTGCAGTAGTAACTTCATATAAACTCAAAAACACTTTGTAACATGAACAGCTTTTTAACCTGTTAAGCCCTGAGCCTGTTTTTCAGGTCTCAGGCTCGAAAATGACATTCCCAGAACAAATGACCATATCTTCCCTTCTAAAAGGGTTAAATTAATAATCTTTGTTCTCAAATTAATGATAAACCTGTGAGTTGGATGTAGAAAAGTCAGAATCAATATAGATGTTTTTTATTTTAAAGAAAATTCAGATTTCACAAAAACTGTAAATTATAGTGTCCGTCCAACAATTCTTTTTTACTTATAGTGAAAACCACCCTTGGATGATGGGTTAGTAGACTAAAAGCTTTAGGAATCCAAAGTGTGTGGTTGTGGACGTGAGTAAATGGACTAATACAATGGATGAGATGGAAGATATTAAAGCTGATCGGGATATGGATATACGTTGGATGCCTGCCAAGATAAAAGGAAACGGAATGGAGCAGAGAGAAATGTTTGTTACGACGCAATGCTTGGATTAAAGTGCGGATTGAACGATCAAAAGGATTGATAAAGTGTGATCCTAAGCAGCGGTGCCGCCAGGGATTTTGGGCCCCGTGAAAATATATCACATTGGGCCCCAAAGATATTTGTTTTGATATATATATATGTTGTAGTCCTGTCTCCCTTCAGATATGTTAAGTGGCATGTCATTCAACACAATGCTGCTCACCTCCTTCAGTTGGGAGAACAGCTGGTTCAGGTTCAGCCTTATGGGGGGACAGGGCTGCTGAGCCTAGAGATGGATCTGTAGTTTGTACAGCGCAGGTCAGGTCAGATCAGGTCAGCAGGCCACACAAAGAAAAGAGGGCAAAGAGGTGGTAAACCCTTATGCTTTCCTGAACTGAATGTTTGATTGTCTAAATGTATATACTTTGGGAGATAATAACTTTCCTAATGAACCAACACTTTTATTTAAAGGTCCCATGTCATGCTTTTCTGTTCTTACCCGTCCCCGTGTGATGTAGCTTTCTCTGCATGGAACCGGTCTGCAGTCACAAACCCTCAGTACACCCTGTAGCGAGTACATGCCGTGTTCAAGTTGATGTATAACATGTTTTTTTAAATACATGTTATATATCTGAACACATTTGCTGCAATAATTATTATGTAATAATAAACTTGCAATCAGAAGTCAATATAACTAATAGATCTAAGTTGAAACAAATGTATTATTACAATCTTCTTAACTTGAAATGATGAGTTATATAAATGTAGAACTTGAAAGTGTGAGTTATAATAAGACTGAAATGTGAGTTTATTTGACTAGGAGGTCAATAAGGTTTCCTTGCTCTAATAATGTCAGATTGGTATTTGTTTCAACTCTGAGTATAAAGTTAAAACAACTTAACCCTCCTGTTGTCTTCGGGTCAAATCTGACCGATTTACTACTTTCATCAATCATAACTTTTTTGTTTTACATTCAATTGCATTAAGGCTTTATGATATCCTTCACAGTAGACATTTGAACATAGAAATTGCTGATCACCACTTTCATTGAACTTTGGATGATTTAGTCAACTTTGAAACACCCATGGTGTTCCCGCCATAAAGAAAAGGAATTAGTAACCATCCGGATCAGATAAAACACACACACACACACACACACACACACCACACACACACACACACACACACACACACACACACCACACACACACACACACACACACACACACACACACACACACACACACACACACCACACACACACACACACACACACATACTCTAGATGTGTTCCCCCCCTTATGTGCCCATCCCCAGTTTGAAAGGGTGTTAAATGACATTTGGTGGTGATTAATGGTTTTTGTTTTAATGTAATAGCAGTTAAAACAGGACCGGTCAAATTTGACCGCAAACACCAAAGTAAGGGGGGGAACGAAGACAATAGGAGGGTTAAACAACTTAAAAAAACAATGTTAATACAACTAGAACCTTTAAGTCATATCAACGAGATTTACTTGCATTAATGAGTTGAAACAAAGTTTGTCTTCAAGTTGACTTGATTTGCTTTTCCAAGGCAGCAGGTGGACTTTCATTTGCAAGTTGAACTGACATGAACTGTTTCACAGTGTGTAGCTTTTTATTTATTTCAAAGTGGGCCCATTTGAATTGTATTTATTTCCTTCAAATGTGCAGAGGACTCCCCAAGTGCTGTGTTTCATTTATTTTAAAGTAGGCCTGTGTATTTCTTTTTATTCTCCTTATACGAGTTCTTTGTTTATTATTAGAGGTTAACAGTTTTCTTTAATGTAATAAATAATACATGCATTCTCACACATTCTCACTCCCAACTCGGCCTATGTTGACGTTATGTCAGGGTCCCTGTCGTCACTTTCCAACGCAAGGGGGGGCCCTTTAGCGTCGAGTTCCAACTATCAGGGAGTCCCATTGACTTAGAGCTCCCTGAACGTTGGTAATAGACCAGTTGGGATCGCGGCTAAATGCTCTCCGCAGACCCATTCTCACAGCGTTTATCAACCTTTTTCTAACTCAATATCAAGCCACACTTATTGTGTTTACTTCTTTATTTTAATTGTATAATGTCGGACTTTTGTTGCTGTCAGTTAGGGGGAGAGTAGGGGCTCAGAAAACTGAAATCTGGATTGTTTCATCGTTTTTTCCTTCTAATTTTGTATTCTTTTCTAAACCACACACTGCTATTTACTCAACAATAAGACACAATTATCCTTGTGTTTATTTATTTGTTTGATTGTATAATGTTGGACTTTTGGAAGTGAGAATGTGTTGGTTTTGCGGCTCCAGACAAAAGAAATGGGTGGAAAAGGGGGCAAAATGGCTCTTTGGGGTCCAAAAGGTTGCAGACCCCTGCCATAGTTTATGGGCGCTGTACGCTATCAATCAATCAGCTATTTCAATACTAACCTGTTAGAACTAAAGCCTTGAGGTTTAATTCTCACACAGAAACAAAGCAAACCAGGAGAAACACTTTTGAAATCAGCTCACTCTCAGAGTTTCATGGATTATTAAAGAAGTTTTATTATTTTTTTGGTACATAGCAAATGACAGCGATGACAACATTTGTTAAAAAAAGCCACATCAAAAAACCTTAATTGGCGAAAGCTAAATTCTTCAGAAATGCAAAAAACAACAAAATCAATCAAAATTCTTATGAAGCAAAAACATTTCTCGGTTCCAAAATCACAACACTTGTTTACGGACAATGTTAACATTTTAAGTACGAAATAATTAGTCTCCTGAATTTGGGAAAATCCTAAATCACAAAAATAATCTGAATTCTTTGAAAAAAGTGAAATTCAAAAGAAATTCAAAATGTTTCATAAAAGTCCAAAAGTAATGATTACAGATTATTGATCATCTTGTGAAATAAGTACAATCCTCAATAATACAAAAACAAGCACATCTCTTGATCACATAACAAAGCACATTACCTTTTAAAAAGGAAACTTCTACCAAATTATGTACATTTTTAATTACAACATGTTAGTATTTAATATCTTATGAATTTGGGAATGCTCTCCAAAAGGTGGAGTTCTTAAAAACAGCTAAATTACTACAAAATACAGAGAAATACCATCAAAAATGATATAATGTAAGAAAAATACTGAATGATTGAAAATGATTACAAACTGAGCTCAGTACATGTGAAATAAGAACTTTGAAGAAAAGTTACAATCTTATACTTTTTGGCAAATTACAAATATAATCGGATTTCTCTGAAAAAGCTTCTTTTTTTATACAAACAATCTCTTCAGACTAAAATCAAGCTAAATTCTACTGAAATCACATTTTTCAATAAAAAAAACATCTGCATTGTTATGAAATAAGAAGTGTTTGGACTATTTACTTTTGTTCAATTCCTATTTGTATATTGTTCAGCTAAATATGTCCCTGCTGCTAAAATGACCCATGTGACCCACAAGGGGATCAAATATCCTATCTCGCTGATCAGATGAATTGTTGTGAAAAACGTAACATTTTAAAAACTGTACTTTGTCTTATTTGTTGATAGAATAACAAAAACCCTTGTTGTGCTCGAGGTCTACAAATCTAACACTAGGTGGCGCTGTAACGCGTTCCTCCTGTTATCTCAGGAATCACTACATTAGATTCAAACATTGGGTTTTGTAACACTGTTTTTAGAGGATATTTGAACATTAATATATGGCATTCATTGGCCAACTTAGTTCCTGAGCGGCCTGGGTTGGTGTGTCTGGTTTCAAACTGCACCGACTGCATTGACTTTTAAAAATAAAACTAACTTGTGATGTTTTTTAAAGATCTTCATCTTCAGTGGGAACCAATTGGCTTGGAGCTGACAGGAAGTCAGGAAACATGAGGCACTAACACATTGCTGGTGACTTTCAGAGTGAAAGCTATATTTTCTAACGTTGGTTAAAATCTATAAGAGCTGATAAACCCATGTGTGTGAGAGGAGCTCCTTGGAGCTGCTACTCTGCTCCCTGAGCTCCTTCCTCTTCAGCAGGAACACCCAGGTAATCCAGCTCAATGTCCTCCTGTCGGCTCGGCCTCCGCCCCCTGGTGGCCTGGAGAGACATGACAGCACACAGTGAGACTTCCTGCATCACTCCTGTTCAATAACACACACTGTTTCATTCAGTCAGTGGTGGAACAACAACATGTTTCAGTACCTCATCATTCAGTCAGTGGAACAACAACATGTTTCAGTACCTTATCATTCAGTGGTGGAACAACAACAACATGTTTCAGTACCTTATCATTCAGTCAGTGGAACATCAACAACATGTTTCAGTCCCTTATCATTCAGTCAGTGGAACAACAACATGTTTCAGTACCTTATCATTCAGTCAGTGGAACAACAACATGTTTCAGTCCCTTATCATTCAGTCAGTGGAACAACAACATGTTTCAGTCCCTTATCATTCAGTCAGTGGAACAACAACAACATGTTTCCGTACCTTACAGTAGAAGTAAAGGCCGACGGTCACCAGCAGCACCAGCAGCTGAGTCAGCGGCAGGACGACGGCTCGGATGATAAAAGGTCCTGGATCTGATCGAACACATGGACAGCATCACATCAAGAGTCAGCAAACACACAGAGACCTGAACCCACTTCAGCATGGAGACTCCTCTACAGTTATATTACAATAAACTACATCTTCTTAAGATCTTCATTCAACCCCAACCCTTTTTCCTGTTCATACCAGACAGTAGGACTGTAGGGAGAAGCTGCTAGCTGTATCTGTTGAACAGTCAGTACTCATGGCAATACTCCAATGTAAACTACAGCTGACTGGAGAATTGCTGTTCTGGATTCATGTCTTCACGGTTCATTGCACTTATTGTACGTTGCTCTGGAAAGCTAAATGTGATGTAAGGGTGTGACTGCTTCAGGGCTGACAGTAAAACACTCAGTCCTCACCAGCGTTCTCCTGGGGAGCATCACGCTCTGTCCTACAGTAAACTCTAACAGCTCACCTGTGACGGTGATCGGAGAGCACACGGCTCTCAGAGGAGAAGTCCTGAGAAAAAGCAGAGACATAAACACAGCTGTAGTTTCCCTGGTGGGCGGGCTCTGCAGCCGGGAACAGGAAGTGGGCAGAGTGATTGACAGCTGGCTGGGTGTAGTTGTGAGTGGAGGAGCTGAGCAGGAAGGAGCCTCCTAGGTACTGAGGCTGGATGGAGCAACTGATGGTGAAGGTGAAGCCTCTGAACACCTGGAACCCCTGCTGCTGGGCCCCGGAGACCCCGTACATGGAGGAGGACACAGAGATGTTGGGCTGAAACAGCTTATCTGTAGGTAGGTAGGTAGAGAGAGAGAGAGAGAGAGAGAGAGAGAGAGAGAGGAGAGAGAGAGAGAGAGAGAGAGAGAGAGAGAGAGAGAGAGAGAGGAGAGAGAGGAGAGGAGAGAGAGAGAGAGAGAGAGAGAGAGGATTTGATTTGTTAAAGACATCTCTTCTCATAGAAACAGAGTTCAAAGCAAGGTCTCCCTCCACCACAGAGCTCACAGATGGAGTGAAACACTAACGGTTTTAAAACTCCTCCATTTTTTTTCAGAGAGTGAAATCTAAAATCTACACTCACTCTTGCTTTCACCAAGTGTGATGCCCCTGTGGGATCATCAGGGGAGAGGGTGTGGCTGCACTGATTGCAGTGATTCAGGACACCTGGGTCTGGTGCCCTGGAGCTATTTAAAGCCTCTCTGTCTCGCTCTCTGCTTTCTGCACCCGGTTGTGGTTGAGTATGTTCAGTTGTTTCACTTTGTGCACTTCAACACTCTCACACTCATACATGTCCATGCAATCCTCACCCTGCACTTACATTACTGATACCACTGACATCCACACCTCATACTTCATTTGGTTTTGCACTTAATCAATTTGGCTAATTTGGACTTTTTGCTTTAATAAACATCTTTTGTTAAACCGTTGACATGGTGTGTCTCCTCTTTGTTGTGGCCTTTTTAGCCAGGTCATAACACCAAGAGAAACACATGTTAGTGAGTTGCTGAGCTGCTGTACTGTTTACTTTGTTGTTCCTGCTTTTGGAGATCCACATGTTTGCCTGCCCCAGCAGCAACAATAAAAACAGTCTCTGTGAAAACCTCCTCTCAGTCTGAAGACACCGCTTTGAAGACATTACAAAGAGCTTTCAGTCTGTGACAGTCCAGGTAGCAGAGAGGGATAGTCTCTTTGTCAGAGAGAGAGAGAGACTAACAAAGAGACAGAGGACATGATGTCATAAACAATGTCCCTGATGGGCTTACCTGAGCAGGTGAGATTCAGGAGGTAGAGAGAGGAATATGATGCTGCACACTCCCTCAGAGCAGATCCAGACTGAACACAGTCAGGTCTGATCACCAACACAGGTCTCAATGAGGACTCCTCTCTCAGTCCCACAGAAACAGCAGAGCCACAGTCGAGATCTCTGCAGGCGACTCCTGCTTCCTTCAGGGTCCAGAGAGAGCCCCCCACTGGTCTCCATTCTCCCAGATGTTCCACCTCCAGAGCTCCTGCACAGCGACTCTCTCCTCCCTCCAGCTTAACACCACCAGGCTCTGAAGAGAAACAAGAGAGTGATCAGAGAGAGAATAAAGTGAGTTTGATGAGAACAGAATGAACCAATCACAGCTCCTCTCTACCTGAGCAGGTGAGGCTAACAGCTGTGCCAGGTGAGCAGGTGTTTCTCTCTGAGGCTGAGCTACAGTCCAGGAGAGCAGACTCATTGCCTCCACACTGGAACTCTTTGGTCCACATTGGAGCCTCCCCTTCTCCATAGAGCGCCCCCTGGAGGACTGAAGGAGCCCCACAGCCCAGCTGCCGGCAGACCACCTGAGCATCCTGCTGGTCAAAGTCAGCCTCACACACTGAGGACCAGGACGGGTTAGACTGGTTAGACTGGTCAGAGTTCACCTCCAGTCTGCCTGAGCACAGACCAGTCCCCCCCAGCAGCCTGACAGAGTCTGCAGAGGACAGAAGGTCAAACAGAGGTCAAAGACACACCATCAAAGAGATGAAACTATATTTCAGAGATTCAAACTGGACTCAGTTCCAACATGAGTTGATGATGAACAACAGAACACATGTTTATAAGAACACAGACTGCAGGTACCCTCACATCTACATCTGATACCCTCTAGCAAGTGGTCTCCATTAGTGAACCCTTTCCCTGTGTCTTCAACAAAACCTCCTCCTCTGCAGATCCTCTGCTCCTGCTCAGCTCCACCTCTGCTCTCACACAGACACTTTCAAAAGGTTTCATTCTTTACTCTTACATGTGTGTTTCACATGTGTTATCTGATTGGTGTTTGTAAACACGTTGTTCTTCAAACATGGCGTCATCATTGAATTCAAGCTGTTGTTTGTATATTGATCTCGTGTTTTCCATTAAATGGTGAATTGTATCATTCTAGAGGTGGAGGCTCCAAATAACCCGGTGGGTTTCATGACTCTTCATATCAGCCGTGCTCCAGGCTGCAATGAGTGAAATGAAATGTAATACTGCTTGTTCATTTCTTTTGGTTCACATTACATTGATACATTTTAGAGACACAGAAAGCATAGAGAGGCAGAATCTGGAGTGAGACCCTGCTGTGAGGATGATGGTTCTGGCCTCTCCCCTCTCACTCTTTTGAAAACTCTGAACATGGATTCTTGTGACTCTGTAAATGAGTGCTATATTTTCCTCCTTCATCTGCGGGGTCTGTGGGACGTCCTACGTTGTGTTTGCGCCGCGCTTCGACTATGTGAACTATGTAGGCCAATCACAACAGGCTATTTTACATTGGCCTGTTGTGATTGGATAGAACATCTCACACAACAGAAGCCTGAATACGTTAATAAATGTTGCTTCTAATTGTATTCATTTTTTAAAGGGAAACTTATCTTTGCTATTATTTTATTATTTAATTATTCATTTTGATAATCACAAATAGAAATCCGGTAAGCTATATTTTCTCTCAGTCATTGTAGATGAATGAGTGGGTGGGCCTATAGACCCAGTAGCCCACCCACAACGCCCGGCTGCTTCATACACTGTTCATCATTTGTTATTTGGGTTTGTGTATTTTTTCATTCTAAAAACAAGAAAATGAAAATGTCATCGATGATGTCACTGATGATGTCACTGATGATGTCACTGATGATGTCACTGATGATGTCATTGATGGGTTTACCTGAGCAGGTGAGAGTCAGGATGTCTCTAGAGGAAGATGATTGTGCACACTCCCTCAGAGCAGATCCAGACTCAACACATTCAGGATCGATCCCCCACACAGGTCTCCTTGAGGACCCCTCTCTCCCTCCCACAGAAACAGCAGAGCCACAGTCCAGCTCTCTGCAGGCGACTCCTGTTGCCTTCAGGGTCCAGAGAGAGAGAAAGCCCCTCACTGGTCTCCATTCTCCCTCATGTTCCACCTCCAGGTCTCCTGCACAGCGACTCTCTCCTCCCACCAGCCTAACACCAGGCTCTGAAGAGAAACAAGAGAGTCATGTACCTTCATTGATATTAGCATATTTTAATAATTAATCATTTATACTATTAATACTTCCGAGTGATAATCAGATCAGTAACTTCAGCTCTCTATAAACCGGTGGTGGGAAGTAATAAAGTACATATACTCAAGTACTGTAAGTACAGGTTTGAATTACTTTACTGGAGTATATGGTTTTATAATACTACTACATCACATGTATTCAACAAAATGAGTTCAAGTACTGTAAGTACAGGTTTGAATGACTGGTAACACTTTATATTACGGTACACATATTAACCATCAACTAGTTGTTAATTAACATGCTTATTAGCAGTATATTGGCTCTTTATTAGTCATTATAAAACACTTATTAATGCCTTATTCTACATGACCATATTCTACAAGTAATAAGCCATTAGTTGAGAGCTTTTCCTCAATAACCCTCTAATTAGTGCTTATTTATTGCAAGTAAGGAAGTTATTGTTCATAAACAGATATGTGTTCAAAGAAATGAATAAATAACATAATGCAACCTCTGTGCAAAGCTTTAGTGACCTCCAGCTCAATGAGACTACATGAACCTATGCCCCTACATGAGCTAAGTCTTGTGTATCTCCTAATACGTTAAGGTGGTCGGGCGGTGGAACTCTCACTCTCTCTCCTTCTTTCCATTCCCCAGGTATAATAAGACGCAAAGACCCCAGGCTAGCTGGCCGCTCCCTTGCTAACTTATCAACCTCCCTGTTTCCTCTACCGGGTTTCCTAACCCTCACTTTCTCTCTAAGAAAACCTTGTTCCTTATCTCTTAGCTTGTATCCCTTTTTCAGTTCCCCCCTTCCTTCTCCGTTTCTGTATCACTCCAGTGACCGGATTCTAGGGTTTGATAGAGGTCTCTTATGTACAACTACGTTAGGAAAAGAGGTATTCTTTACCAGGCTACTTTCAGGTTCTTTTATTAGCTCGGTACATTTTGCTTCCGGTGCGTCCAGCACTTTAAAATCCCCCATGGGGTGCTTCACTCCCGCTTGCACTGTTTCTAAGGATCCTACTTATCCTACACTGCACACAGATAAGAAAGACAAATAATGGCCCTGCCACAGACTGCACTAGCGAATACATTCGGGGGGCTGGTAACCCTGGTCCAGGGACGGGGTTTGTGATCTCATCTAGTGGGGAAAGCCCTACTGGGTGCCAATATGGCCAAGCAAGGATACCTTCGTGAAGAGAGACTGGAGCCTTTGGAGTGGGGACCTTATGTTCCCGGTGAATGTGTAATTGGTAGAGTTGTTAATGCCATGGTAAGATGGCACGGCCCAAACCATGAGAAGCCGGCACGGCTCCCTAATGGGCCGTCTTTGAATCCTCCACAGGATTGCCTCGTCTCGGAAAGAGAGGGAGGCAAAGATGAACTGTGCAGAGACTGCTCTTTGGAACACCACCACTAGTGTGCCCTTGAGTAAGGCACTTAGCCCTTAGTTACTCCAGGGAGAATGTCCCTGTAATTGGTCATTGTAAGTCGCTTTGGATAAAAGCATCAGCTAAATGAAATGTAATGTAATGTAATGATAGTTGGCACTTGGCCACCTCAGGATAAGGCAGCAATATCTAGCTGTCATTGCACGTGGGATGGGGAGAAATGAAGGACCTTCGAGTCCCATCTGGGACTTTTTCTGTTCAGAGCAGTTTTGTCTGCTAGTTCAATATAGGATCCAATGCATTCTGTTTTTGGTCAAATGAAGAAGACATTTGTGAATGATTTACGGCTAAAAATGTTCTATGCTTTCAATAAAGCTAAGTGGGGACTTTTGGCTTTTCTTATTATTCTAGCTGTCGCGATAGTTTTAGGTGTTTTGTTCAGATTTGGACTGCTTCAACCAGCACTACTGTACATCACAACATTATGTTTGTTCCTGATCAAATTCACCTTTAAGATGATTTGGCTGGCCCTTAAACTACTAAGGCTAATCTTAAAATCTACATGTTTCTTTTTGGGTCATGGGTTAACAAAACAAGGGAGTTAAACAAAGGAAGACATTTAGAGAGAGAATCCTGTTGTTCAGGGGAAATGGAGAGGTTGGCTTCGGGAGATCAACATGATTTCTCCTCTCCCAACTTTGCTAAAAACCTTTATCCATAAAAGCTGCTTAAGAAAACAATTATAAAGAACATTTTCAAAACTGCTTAGAGGGAGATTTCTCCTCTTTTGCCTCTCCTCCTTGCTGCAGGCTAAGCACCGGATGTTGATGTGGTTTGACATGCAGCTCTGAGATAGAGATCAGCACCCCCGCCCTTACATACTCTCACTACTCTCTGGACCTGAGACAGTGACAGCACGTAATGGAGAGACCGAACGTTACCTCTGAGAATGCTTCATCCCAGTCAATACAAGAGATCCTGATTGGAATTATTTTGACTATTATTTAATTTAGTTTTGATTACCCCAAAGTCATTAAAGAATGGGGGATTTGTGACTTTGATCTTAGCTATCCCCATTTTCCTTATTAGAAACTGGCAAAATGGCCTTATCAATCGGCCAACGCTGAGTTGTTTATTGATTTATCCATTTTGAGCAGAAAGGAGAGTTCAGTTGTGTTATTAGTTTCTTCCTATCAGGGAGCAGTTCAATAAGTAGAATAATGTTAGAAGCTTTTTAACTGCTAAAAGTCATTAGAATAGGTTTGCTCACTTTGGAGATTTTGACCAACTTCCTTTTGTAGTATCTGGTGTTTATCCAACTCCTGGTTGGTAGTAATGAATTTAAAACCAAGTAGATGTAACAATATTTTTAAGAAAATGTGTGATATTTACTATAGCAATGTTTCAGTCCCTTTATAGACGTTCTGTTGAGTGGTTGGTTGGTGATGGACGCTTATATCAGAGAGAAGATTTATCTGATCATTTGTTGCCAGCATCTAGGAGGGGTCTCTCACTGAGACTCTGCGGGGATAACAGGGAACCACCTCGCTGGTATGTTACAGAACATTTAGAAGACTATTTTGACATTAGTCCTAGGGAGCTTGGGGAAGGGTCTACCTGTCCTCCTCCGGCTAAGAAGTCTAGAACTTCTGTGCCACCAAACTAATCTTTTACAGCAGCTGACCAGACGAGGGCTCCAGAAATGCTGTGGACCTGACCTGCTGACATTGTGCCGTTAAAAGTGCAGAGTATCTTGATTTATTTTTAACATCATGTTACTATACATTTTTGACTACTTATGATAATGCTGTTAAGCCATTTAGCTTTGTGTTGTTTAAACCCACTTATATACTCAGTGGTGCATATCTATGTTTTCTGATATACATGATTGTTAATCATTATATTATTTTATTTTTGTGTGACCTTATGATAATATTCAATTGTTTCGAGATAAGTTTGCTTTTTAAACTTTGACAAGAATTTGCTTTTGACTTTTATGTATTACTTTGAAATCAAATGTTGATTACATTTGTCTTCTGCTTGACTATTTCAGGTAAGCGTTTTCAAGCAGTCAAACACCATGCTGGGCCTGACACATAGTAAACACGTTTATTAAGAGGTGCAGATGGTGAAGGTAAAGAACTAGTGTGCCACCCTCCCCAGTGATGGTATCAGAGAGGGGGCCGCCAGCCTGAGGGGCCAGGCGGTGGACGGAGGATTTGACTGCCCTATAAGGGTACCTGATGGTCCTTGCACTAATAAATGTGTATTGTCCTTAACCCTAATCAGCGACATCGAATCCTGCCAGTATGCCACGGCCAAGAGAGGGTGTTGACAGTTCTGCTGTTTAAGTGGCCGTGTCAGACCTGACCTCTACCTCACCTACCTCCATTAAGCTTACCATTGATACAAAGATGCTAAATTGGCTGTAAATAGAAAGGATGCATGTTTCCATCATGTCTTTTCAGACGTGTGAAACCAGGCATGTGAGAATAGATAGAACATTCTGAACTTTTGACCTATGCGCACTATGCATTCTAGATGGGGCAATAAAAGTGTAAAAGTTCCAGCCACAATTCTGAGAAGGCGCTTGTGGTTTTTGACACCTTGAGAGCGGTTACAGCGGGTATGAAGACAATGAAGCACAGGATGCAGGCGGCCTACGCAAAGGACTTGAACCAACTTCCTGGGCCAGCGAATCGTAGAGACAAGCTGTCCTTATTGTCTCTGTTAATAAATGAAGTCTCTGTTAATGAATTAAAGTATAAAGTTTGCATATTTGAAATGAAATGTTTAAAGAAAAAACTTGATTCTAAACATGACATTGACAATGTGTTCTGCTTTCATGAAACATGTTCATATTCCTTCTTGTTAAAATTGCATATCATTACTATAAGTCTTTATTTGTTTTAATTTTAACTTTACATTTGTAATTGTTCATTAAGTAAAAGTTGAACGTGACCTCCTTCTCCCTCAAAGATAGAAAAGGGGAAACCACCTGATGCAGTGAGGGAGGAGGCAAGAGACCTGGGACGTGCACAGACATTTGGAGGGGCTATTGCTCTAAACTGGAAAAAGGGCCTCCCCCCGATAAAAAACACAAGACCTTTTGAAAATTGTAACTTGTTTTTAATGTAAAAGAAACCAAACAATTATTACATCAACTAAATTGAACAGTAATTCACATCTCATAACAAAATAAGCTAAGGCGACTACTTGCATTCGGTAACTTGATTTTAAAAATGAAAACCAGGGACATTTTTTCTTTTGCGGTCCATATCTTATCAAAAATATCTAATGTTAGTAACTATTGAAGACAAAATGGGGACAATTCTGTTCTAATGTAGTTTGACCATTGTAACTGCTGTGCAGACATACATACTGATAAAATAGGGCCTCTAACTAATTACCTTAAATAAACTCACTAATTAATGAAACCAGTTCAATACGCATTATTCTTATTCTTATCATTCTTTATGAGCGCAGTAACGGTAATTACTTATTTATTTAGTATTCCATAACTTAATAACAGAGATGGTCAAACTAAAGTGGTAGAGATGGCAGAAATCCTACAATGAAGCGGGACAGTGAACTGTTCACGACACCCGTGAAAGGGCGATCAAGAAAAGAGAGCGAGCGGCCCGTTGAGGGAGTTTACAGATGAAAAGACACAGAAAGACAGAAGCACAATAACAACAAGTAGGCTATATTTAGGTGTTTTTTTGTAAATAACCGACGGTATCAAGAGGAAGTAAAGTCCCCTGGTTTGTCCCTTATACCCTAACTGCCATGATGAGACAACTCAAAATGAAGTTTCCAAAATCCGACACTGAGGTGGTCTTAACGCACCGGCAGATGACAGCGCTGACAAAGTGTGTTTCGCGCAGCGAGATGCTACAATACTAATTGTGGGCTTATCATATTGATTCGGCCACAACAGAAAAAAGAAAAACAAACTCTCGCTCTCTCCAGAGGGGCAGGTCAGCCAAAAAGGCCAAACGGGCCGTTGCCCGGGCAACATTAGCCCGTACCTGTGCACGTCCCTGCAAGAGACTATAAGATGATCTGTGAAGAGAAAGGAGAGGTTTTTTTGGCTGTTTGAGGCTTGAAGGCTTGGGGGAAGTTTTCTGAGGCCCAAGCCCTGGGCCTGGGCCTGGGCCTGGGCTCTTAGGCTTTTTTAGGACATTTGACTTGTGAACCTGTTGCTTTTGTATTTTGACTTTGTGTCTTTTGTTATTTTTTGGATTCTTGTAAATCCGCTATTTTTGTTAAAACCTTAATAAAACCGGTTTGTACTTTGTACATTTCGACCCAATTCCTGGTCTCTCTCGTGGTTTCTGAAGGTATCTGCTTGGTCTTAGAGTGAGGTAAGAACACCCTTCCTTGGAAAAGGCTGACATTAGTTGATCATTTGGATTTTAAATTGTTTAAGGGGAATAGAAACTCTGCTAAGGTTAAACTATAGTTTCACATTATGGGTTAGGCTCACTTTATTAATGTTGGACTCTGGCTGGGTTTGATATTACTTTTGCATTGTTTTAATTGGTATAAGGGGATCAAAATGTGGGGGTTAGGGATTGAGGGTCCTGAAGCTGCCCTAATTACCAAGGAGTCTCCCAACGACACAGGGTTTCTCCTCCAGGGGCAGTTTAGATACTGCTCTGGGGTTCTACCAGCCCACCAACACCTACTACACTATACACTCCGTTTTGCTATCCTAGCGGTCCGACATCCGAAGCTGGAGTGCCTAAATAGGGATACGACGGGCAGTTTGTTGTTAGAGGCCATGCTGTAAACGCCCCCCTAAGCAGATTACGTTGCTCTTGCGTGTAGATTCTGGGGGGTTTTGAAGTCCTAAAAAGATTGGACGGCCGTTCACCGGAGCCTTATCAGCACCAGAGTTCGGTATCGGAGACAGCCTAGATATTAACGTTGGTTGTATCGAAGTTAGATTCCTTTTCAATGTGATGATCTGATGGTATTTATAAAGTATAATCATGAAAAGTGGTGGTGATGAAAAGGTGATGATGGTTTGTTGTTTACCTTTGAAGTATATCCTGGTTTCACAAACATGGTAAAATCATAAATGATGAAACTAGGATCAGTTAGTGGTGAAGTCTTTAAACTACATCATGTTTTATGATAACGGTTGTTTACAGACTGTAATCACTTCAAGAGTAACAGGGTGAATAAACTGAGCACTTTACCTGTTGAGTTGTGTTCTCCTTCAGCCTGGAGTCCTGAGGAGAAATCAGAAGATAAGGTAAACAGAGTTTTCTATCATCTCAGGAACACGTCAGTGAACTCACTCTGGAGTCATTTCACCAGTTTACTCTAGCTGAGAATAACACGTTCATACAGAGAAGTCACATATTCAGAGTTAAAGCAACAGTTCAGTTTAGAGAATATGCTCCTTCAATTCAAATGAGTCATGGTGCACCATCATCACACTGAAACATGTTCTACAGCAACAATTACATTAGGAGGAACCACAGAGGAAAGAGATGCTGCCAGTTCCCACCTTCTGCTGTCACCTGAACGCCTCACTCCCCTATCACTAACTGCAGACATTAACTAGCTGACCTGTACCTGTTTTAATATGACCTGGTATAGTGTGTGTGTGTGTGTGTGTGTGTGTGTGTGTGTGTGTGTGTGTGTGTGTGTGTGTGTGTGTGTGTGTGTGTGTGTGTGTGTGTGTGTGTGTGTGTGTGTGTGTGTGTGTGTGTGTGTGTGTGTGTGTGTGTGTGTGTGTGTGTGTGTAAGACAGCCAGGGACGTGCACAGACATTTTGGGGGGCAGGGGCTCAAGTGAGAAAAAGGGCACATCCCATAATCATTTATTTAAAAAAATGTAAAACTAAAAGTTAAATATAGTTGCACATCTCTGGCTTACCGACCAATTAATTTTAATACACTCACGCAATTGTTTAATACTCAACATAATTCTACAAAATAATCAGTTAACACAGAGACAATGGTCTACTTTAGTATTCACTACAAGAGCAGACATCAACAAAGGAAACTATGCCACAATGTGCATGTTTTTATGCTACTAGTTAAAATTGCTATAATAATTAGTTTATTTTAGCACAACATTAAGTCCTTTGAATTATTTTTGTGGTATTCAAATAAATAACACTTCAAAATCAACAAAAATGGGAGGGAGGGAGGGAGGGGAGAGAGAGCAGCGGAACTTCAGTCTAATCTCCCGACCTGATATTTTTATTTTTTATTCAATCAATATATTTTTGGAAAGTGTGCGCAAACAGCAGTAGATACATATTCATTTATTTATAAAAGAAAAGAAAAAAAAAAGCAACCCATAAAAAGGGCGCTTTCTCTGGAGGAAGAAAAAGGGCAGGGGCTCAAGCCCACTTTGAGGTCTATGTGTGCACGTGCCTGAAGACAGCATGAATATATGGAACCCACATCTGTCTAAAACCCAGACTTTATGAATGTATGGACCCCACATCTGTCTAAAACCCAGACTTTATGAATGTATGTCTCTAAACCAGATGGTGTGTGTGTGGTCGCCCCCTACAGGTCAGTAGCTGAACGTCTCCAGGAAGCTGCTTCCAGTCAGTGACCTCTGCTCTTTCTGATGATGATGATCTCTGTGTTTACTCCAGGATCCTGCCTGATCTGATCCATGCTGTACCACCTTCAGAAGGGGGGGTGGGGTGCATGTTTGTGTCCTCAAGTGTGTGTGTGTGTGTGTGTGTGTGTATGTTTGTGTGTGACAGTGTGTGTTTTTGTGTATATTGTTTGAGCGTCCTCCCATGGGTGTGTGTGTGTGTCTGTAAGTTTGTGTGGGTGTGTCAATGTAAATGTGTGTGCGTAAGAGTATGTGTACATGTGTTTTTGTTTGTGTGTGTGTGTGTGTAAAACAGTGTGTATATAGACCCCACTTATGCTTAAAAACCTGACGGTGTGTGTATTTGAACCCCACTCATACACACACACTATATCAACCACAGGTAATTCACAATAATGAACAATGGTGTAGGCAGACTCATTCAAATATGCAATAATAGAGATCAGTGTAAATGATATAATAGAGGTGTTAGAACGTGTTGGAGGACAAACACTTTGAGTTGTCTCTACACAAATATTAATGCCTTAATATAACTGAGTATAAACACACTGATGGGATGTTCAATACAACATTTATTAACCCAAAGACAAATAGAATAACAAACTGCTGTCTGTGTGTGTGTGTGTGTGTGTGTGTGTGTGTGTGTGTGTGTGTGTGTGTGTGTGTGTGTGTGTGTATATATGTGTGTGTGTGTGTGTGTGTGTGTGTGTGTGTGTGTGTGTGTGTGTGTGTGTGTGTGTGTGTGTGTGTATGTGTGTCTAAGACAGTGCGTGAAGTGACCCCACGTATACCCCAAAACCAGACTGTGTGTACATATGGACACCATCTAAAAGTCGCTACCTCAGTTTGTATGTTTGTGTGTGTGTAAGTGTGTGTGTGTAATATAGTGTGTAAAGTGACGCCGATTATGTGTGTGTGCTTGTATGTGGGGGGGTCTCTGTGTGTGGTCAGTGTGTGTGATTGCATGTGTGTGTATGTGTGTGTGTGTTTGAATGGCTTGCTTTCAGTGTGTGTGTGAGTGACCCCAATGGTGCCTAAAATCTGAACAGTGTAAATATATAGACCCCACTTATGCTTAGAAACCAGACGGTGTGTATTTGGACCCCACTCATACACACACACTATATCAACCACAGGTAATTCACAATAATGAACAATGGTGTAGGCAGACTCATTCAAATATGCAATAATAGAGATCAGTGTAAATGATATAATAGAGGTGTTAGAATGTGTTGGAGGACAAACACTTTGAGTTGTCTCTACACAAATATGAATGCCTTAATATAACTGAGTATAAACACACTGATGGGATGTTCAATACAACATTTATTAACCCAAAGACAAATAGAATAACAAACTGCTGTCTGTGTGTGTGTGTGTGTGTGTGTGTGTGTGTGTGTGTGTGTGTGTGTGTGTGTGTGTGTGTGTGTCTAAGACAGTGCGTGAAGTGACCCCACATATACCCTAAAACCAGACTGTGTGTACATATGGACACCATCTAAAAGTCGGTACCTCAGTTTGTATGTTTGTGTGTGTGTGTGTGTGTGTGTGTGTATGTTTGTGTGTGTGTGTAAGTGTGTGTGTGTAAGTGTGTGTGTGTAATATAGTGTGTAAAGTGACGCCGATTATGTGTGTGCTTGTATGTGGGGGGGTCTCTGTGTGTGGTCAGTGTGTGTGATTGCATGTGTGTGTATGTGTGTGTGTGTTTGAATGGCTTGCTTTCAGTGTGTGTGTGAGTGACCCCAATGGTGCCTAAAATCTGAACAGTGTAAATATATAGACCCCACTTATGCTTAGAAACCAGACGGTGTGTGTATGTGGACCCCACTCATGCACACACACTCTGACAGCAGTCAAAGAAACCACAGGAGGAAAATAATTTTTCACTTTAAAACCATGGGCGTAATTTCCACTGGGGACAGTGGGGACATGTCCCCCCCACTTTTCAAAACCCCGTTTGTGTCCCCCACACTATTCAAATGTGTTTATTATTATTTGTTATCGTCACGGAGGGGCGTCTGTGTGTGTGTGTGGCACGAGCGCATGTTGTGAGAGAGAGACATAGAGAGACAGAGAGATACAGAGAGAGAGAGACACAGAGAGAGAGAGAGACAGAGAGAGACAGAGAGAGACAGAGAGAGAGACAGAGAGAGACAGAGAGATACAGAGAGAGAGAGACACAGAGAGAGAGAGAGAGACAGAGAGAGAGAGAGAGAGAGAGAGAGAGAAAGAGACAGAGAGAGAGAGTCAGCTACAGTTACGGGGGTTGTTGTTAGCATCTGGTGCTAGCTCTGAGCTAACGGAGATTCTAAGCTGTCTCAACAGTAAGGAGAGGGAGAGCTCTCTCCTGGGGGACTGAGAGAGATCACGTCCGCTCAGTGAGCTAAAGGACTCTCTGAGGGATTAGGTTGTAAACTTTAGTCTAAGTTATCTCAGTGGCTCTCAAACGCTTTGCTCAT